TGGTGCGCCTGGCACGCGTGGCGCACCTCGCCCCAGCGTCGCGCACATGGGGCCGGGTTTTGGTTCCCAGTAGCCGCCCGTCCAGAGACGACCGCTGAGCATGCTGAGGCTTGGGTGTTGCGCGCGTGTTGGGAGGGCGGGTGGGAGTGAGCTGGACGGCGTGCTATCTAGGGAGCGTCTGGACCTTAGCTGCCCCGGTACGCAACACGCAACACGTAGCGTATTGATTGATACGGAACTCAACACGTGGGCTGAAAACGCAGGCCCGACGCGATACGTTCGCCAGAACGTGGCCCAGTACGTGGAGCCAACACGCAACGTATGGAACACGGACGTCTCGAACGCAGGACGTGTCGCGTTTCCAAGCGAGCGTGTCGAGGCAACCGAGTTCTTGACCTCTCCCCCCTATACCGTATGCCCCCTCCCATGGGCCTGGGCAGGGCGCCCAGCGACCGACGAGCGCGCCAAAGAAGGGCTTTGCCGAGGAGTCGCGCGCGACTGATGCGATGCAGGTTCTGGGCCAAGGCTTGGCCTCCTGGGAGGGGGGAAGAGCGGGGGAGCAGATGAACAAGGGCTCCCAGCTTCGCGCTTCGCGCTGCGCGAAGCGCGAACTGCGAATCACTTCGCGCTCTCGCGCCGCCTCCCAGGGCAGAAAAGGAGGATGAGGAGGAATCGGAGCCGAACCGCGAAACGCGAATAATTTCGCGCCCTCGAGGGCGCCCTTGATTAAGCATCACCCCATTCTTCCTTCTTTGATCGGTCTCCTCGAGGATGGCTCCGAGATGGTCCCCAGGGTTCCCAAGGGTGCCCCCAGGTGGCCCCAGCAGGGCCCGTAGAGGCACACAGGAGGCCCCAAGATGCCCCACGGGGTCCCTTAAGAGGCTCCCAAGAGACCCCCAAGAGGCCCCAAGAGGCTCTCCCGAGACACCCAGGACTCTCCACAAGGCCCCTGGGACCGCCAAGAAGCCCCGAAGAACCCCAATAGGACCCCAAGAGACATCCGAATAAACTCCCTGGGACACCTCAGAGGTCTCTGGCCTGTCTGCTCGCCCTCCTCCTCTTCCTCCTCCTTTTCCTCTTCCTCCTCCTCTTCCTCATCCGCCTGTTCCTCCTCCTCCTCCCTCCTCCCTCCTCCCTCCTCCCTCCTCCCTCTTCCCCCTCCCCTTCGTACTTCTCCTCCGATTCCTCCCCCATCTTCCCCCTCTTGGGGTACGGCGGTTTCCCCAGCCCTATATTATACTGCATGCTTGTCCGCATCCCTGGTCAGGGCAGCTCGCCTGGGCATCGTTTCTGGATGCGGCTGGTCGGGTTATTTTTTCGGTCGCGTCCGCTAGCGAAGGCGCTAACGGAGTCAGAAGCGTTACGGGTCACGACAGCGGCCTAATTAGCAGCTCAACGCGCCGCGAGCCGGCCAGCCCACTCATCCAGCAGCGGCTGACTGCGCGGGGGGAGCGGCAAGCTGAGGGCGTCCAGGGTGCTCGAGCAACTGCAACACGGCAAAATGCTGGTGAATTCCAGATGTGCCGAATGGCAAAACCCAAACGGAGCGTGAGGACGATAGCTGTAGGCTGCGTGTCCAACATGCCGTCTGAATGCCTAGACGTCGTAAGCGATGGGCAGTCGCCAGTGGGGCGCCAAGCCCAGGTCGCGCCAACGGCGTGTGCGAGCCAGCTGAGCTGCTCCGCCGGGGAACGTCGACAACCAGGCTGGGGGTGGGACGGGCCCGGGGGGGCGGCCGCGGACCGGTGGGGTTACTTTTTGGTCGGCGGCCGCGCGACAACGGTCTGGCGGCAACATGCGATGTCCGGGACGGCGGTACAAAGCTAATTGCACACAAAGCGTGCGGTGCACGCGCACTGAGCAAAATGCTCCACATTCGCAAGCAGACGCACCTAGGTGCCGCCCAATCCAGAGTGAACGAGCGGCCAGTAGTGCGAGTGCTACGGAGGGAGTCGCCCTTGCGGCGCCAAGCTCCGAGCAGCTTCCCAGGCAGACAACTAAGCACCAGCCCGGGGGACCCGCTGCTGGCGGTGGAAAACGAGGGCCGTCGGCGCTGAAGGCTGAACCACTCAGCGCGCAGCCAACGAACTCCACCGCAGAGTTGTTGGGGCCGGCGGCAACCGACGGACGAGTCGGCACCGGCGGAAAAGGCCCGGGAAGTGCGCCAGGACAAACACGGGCAGAGGCAACACTCCGGCAAGGCAACCCGTCACAGTCACCCTCACTTCGGTGGACACCATCGACCTTCCGAGTGTCACAGTGTCGACCTGCTGCGAGAAGGCCCCTGCGGCCCACAGAGTGCGCCTGACGTGGAGATGAGGGGTGCAGCTAACCGCCGCAAGAGATACGTAACTTGATGGCAGCTGCACGCCGAGAGCGTAAACACGTGTGGGGGGTGCAGCGAACCGCCGCAGTAGTCACGTAGAAAGATGGGGGGGGGGCAGAGCTGCGCCGATGCAGCCCGAGCTGGAGTGTGCCAGCGTCGGACGCGCCACGTGGAAGGCCATGTGCAGCAGCCTTACGCAACAAAGCTGACGTGCAAACTGCCGAAATACCGGCTGAGCGGCGTGCAGGGGGGCGACTATTTCAGGCGACTGACCCGTGCTACCGGCAGCTGGGGGCTGTCAAGTAAACAGCAAAGGAAGGTGCGCTGGGGGAGTGCATCTACGGCCGTCCCCTGGGCACCGAAAAGAGTGGCTGTCGCTGCAGGACAGCAAAGCAGGCGTCCCTAGGTGGGTGAAACCTAGAAACGCGGCCTGAAGCAACACTCAGGCAAGGCAACTGCTGGTGGGGTTACGCGAAGCGTTTAGAATATCTGGTGGGCCTGGGACGCGTACAACAACTTGAGATTCGCGCCCCCGATGCAATACTCCCTCGCAGGTTATGCCAAATTCACGCTCCCGAAGCCAATAAAATTGTGCCGGCTTCGCGCTCCCGGAGCTAGAATCCTTTTTGCAACTTACGCCAGATCCGCGCTCCCGAGGCCAGAATCCTGAGTACATTCCCGCATTCTCGAACTCCCGAGGCCAGACCGTCTTGTCAATTACTGCAGGCTCGCGCCCCCGACACCAGAGCGCCTTATAGACTACATCCGCCTCTTGTAAATGGCACCAGGTTCGCGCCCCCCGAGGCCCGAACCCCTTGTCGATTGCGCCGGGCTCGCGCTCCCGGAGGCCAGAATCCCGTATGCAGTACGCCAGGTTTTCGCGCTCACGAGGCCAGTTCCTCCCAGATGCACCAGGTTCGCGCTGCGATGAGGGAACAGAGCGCTGAACCATAACTCCAGCATCTCAAGGTGCTCGCGGAACGCCAATCGCCCTCGCATGATGATCTCGAGGCTTGCTAAACAGCGCCGACATGTTCCAGCATACAGTATGAGCTCGACCACGCGAAACATGCCACAAACCCAGCCCTGAGACCCCAGGACGTCCATTGATTTTTGGTGTGGGAACGTCACGCGTTCCAGAGCAAAACCATCGAAACCCAGGAATGAAGGGGAACTGGAACACACAAATAAGTACACACAAATAAAAGTATCTCCTATATTTTCCCATATTTTCTGGGTTTTTTGTTTTCCACCCCACTTCCCATATTTTCCCATATTTTCTGGGAATCGCCGATTAATTGTGTCTGTGTGTTTTCTCCCCTCCTGAAGGAAGCCCAGGGCACCCAGGAGAGGCAAGCAGGGTGTTCCTTGGCATGGGCTTCCGCTGCAGCTCCGACGTCTCCCCTTATGTGATGGCAGGGCGCCGGCGGCAGAGGGCGACGCCCCTTACCGTGCAGGCCCGGGGCATTCTCCGAACATCGGCCCCGCACCACAGCGCGCGGAACGCCCCTTCGGACACCAGACTGGGCGGAGGGGGGCCAACATCGGGGGTCTACAGTCGGGGCGTTGACCTGAGGAACCCTAAATAAAGAACGAGGCCCCTCTTTTCCATAAGTTAAACTTCGCTTCCCCATCGAAAACCCAAGGACAACCTCAGGCAAGCTGCAAAACATTTAAGGAACACGGAGCCCCTCCCCAACAAAAAGGGTTCCTTGTTCAGCGCGCCGACTGCATGGCCAAAACGGTTGGACACAACCGCTCCTGCAGGAGCTCCTCCGCTTCCGTGCAGTCCTCCTGGTCGCCCAGCCAGCGCGGCAGCACGTAGCCGATGCCGCTGGGGTGCGCGGAGTCGAACTCGATGCGGTAGGGGCCCGAGAAGATGCGCGGCGCGTCGCTCAGCGCGAACACGGCCTTGAAGCCCAGCCCCTTCTCGCCGGTGGCCATCACGCGCCCGCCGGCCGCATACTTCGCGACCCCAACCTTCGAGGAGTTGCCAATGTCGCAGATGGCGCGTATGTCCGCCGCCCGGAAGCCGTTCTCGTTGCAGCGGAAGACGACCTCCCCCCTGCCGCCGCGGCTGCGCAGGAGGAACTCCGCGGTGGGCTCCAGCTCCTCCTCGTACGCGTTGTCGTCGGCGTTCTGCAGCAGCTCCAGCTGCCAGTGCACGTCGCTGCCGTAGAGCTCGCCGGCCAGGCGCCTCAGCGCACGGGCGAGCCGCGCATTCTGCTTCTGCTGCAGCTCCCCGCCTGTGAGCGCCTCGCCCTGGAATCCGAACTCCTCCAGCCGAATCCTGTTCGGCTGCAGTCAAGGGTGATCTTAGGCAAGAGTGACCTTTGGTGCGCGGCTTTGGGGGGGGGGCACGAGGGGACCAAGCCCAAGCGCGCGGGCCGCTGCTATCGCATCGCACTCAGCGATCTGCCGTCCCAGTGGGCCCGCACCAGAGGCCACTCGGGCGACGGGCCACTCTTGCGCGCAGTCGACCTGTACACCAGCGCCTCGGCTGGGTTCGCGGGCAGCTCCGCCACACTGGCCTCCGCGCCGCGCGGCGCCGCTGGGCAGGCCTGGGGCGCCGCCACAACGCCCAGACCCCGACGTCGTGACCTTTTCGCAAGGTCGATTTGTAGAGGCCTGGACCCCTTCCGCGGGACCGGTTCTTCATCCCGAGTCGATTTGTCGACGGCCCCGAGGCCCAGGAAGGGCCCCCGAGGCCCAGAATAGCGACCCCCCCGTCGTGATTGTCTTTCCACTTATTATTTTCTAAGTATTACTATTCTTCTTTATCTTCTTCCTCTTCTGTTTCGTCTTCTTCTTAGTATTATTATTATTCTTCTTCTTCTCAGCATTGTAATGTTTATTATTACTACTGTTACTCTGATTATTATTTTTCTTTTTCTTCTTCGAGCGCCGCGCGGCAACGCCCGGCGGGCCTCGGGCGCCGCCGCTGCGGGCGGCGCGCGAGCGCCAGGCGCGGCCGCGCCCTGCGGCGGGGCGGCTCTCGTGGCGCCGCCGCTCGCCGCGCCTGCGCCGCGGGCGCGGCGCCGGGCGGCGCGCGCCCGCGCTCGGCGCGGGCGGCCGGGAGCCGCGGCGCCGCCGCGGGGCCGCCGGGCGCGGCGGCGGCGGCGGCGGCTGCCGCGGCTGCCGCGGCGGCGCCAGGCCTCGCCGGCCTCGGCGGCGCCGGCTGCCGACGTCAGGGGGGCGAAGAATGGCATGGACACGAAAACTCGGAGGTCCGCGCGGATTTCTCGGATCGGCGCTGGACCCCCCCCTCCCTGGCGCGCGGAGCGCGCCAGAGGCGCCGCCGGGGGGCTCCAGCTCCGATCCGAGAAATCTGCGCGGATCTTCGAGTTTTTATGTTCATGTCTGACTACCTATCAGACCACCACAACCCAACCCGAAGACCCGAATTTGATCCGAATTTCGGGATGGGGGCGTACGGGTTCCATGTGTTTTTTCAATGTTCCCCGACCCCCCCAACACTGGAAATTGAAGGCAAATTGAGGCCTTCGGGTTGGGTTGGGGTGGTTTGGTGGGTGGTGAATGTCATTGTTCGTCCCCCTAGACGTGAGCCGAGCGGCCGCGAGGCGCACCAGCGGCGAGGAGGCGGCCTTGCCGCCGCAGCCCGCCAGCGCCGCGGCCTCTGCGACCTCCGGGAGCACTGGGAGCCTCTCCTCCTCCTCCTCCTCCTCCTCCTCCTCCTCCTCCTCCTCCTCCCCTCCTCCTCTCCTCGTCCTCCTCCTCCTCCTCCTCCTCCTCCCTCCTCCTCCTCCTCCTCTCCTCCTCCTCCCCTCCTCCTCCTCCTCCTCCTCCTCCTCCTCCTCCCTCCTCCTCCTCCTCCTCCTCCTCCTCCTCCTCCTCCTCCTCCTCCTCCTCCCCTCCTCCTCCTCCTCCTCCTCCTCCTCCTCCTCCTCCTCCTCTCCTCCCCCTCCTCCTCCTCCTCCTCCTCCTCCTCCTCCTCCTCCTCCTCCTCCTCCTCCTCCTCCTCCTCCTCCTCCTCCTCCTCCTCCTCCTCCTCCTCCCTCCCCCCTCCTCCTCCTCCTCCTGCTCCTCCTCCTGCTCCTTCCTCCCCCCCCTCCTCCTCCCTCCTCCTCCCTCCTCCTCCTCCCTTCTCCTCCGCCACCTCCTCGTGCTCCTCCTCCTCTTCCTACTGCTCCTCCTCCTGCTGATGCTGCTGCTGCTCCTCCTCCTCCTCCTCCTCCTCCTCCTCTTCTCCTCCTCCTCCCCTGCCGCCGACCCCGCTCCCACGAGGCCCCCCTCGGCCCGCATGGGGGCCCGGCACGCACACGTGCACATCTACCATGGGTTTGCCCCGGCGCAGTGCCAAATAGGGGCCTCATCCCTTCCAGAACGATTCGAAACAGCTCTGAGCAACGCAAGACACTGCAGCACAAAAGCGTTGCTTGGCATTGCTAGGAGCTGCTTGTCGCTGCTTGGCATTGCTTCACGCTACTTGGAACCACTGTTTGGCAATGCTTGCCATTGTGTTGCATTGCTTGGCGTTCCTTAGCACTCCTGGCTCTGTCCTCGTCCTCGTCATCATCAATGTCGTCATCGGCGCCCCATTCCACCCCCATCATCTTACTACTCCTCAGCCTCTCCTCCTCCTCCTTCCTCCTTCCCATCCTACTTCTCAACCTTCTCCTCCTCCGCCTCCTCCTTCGACGGCAAGCTCAGCAGTTCCACCCCTGCATGCTCAAGCTGATTCCGAGCTTCACCTGGACTGCTGACTCAACTCTCTGATCTAGATTTCCCTGATGAGGCGAACTTTGTGCGCTGTGCGAGCCTTGTGACAGTCGTCAGGTGTGCGACTTTTGTGTGAATGCTGGAAGGTTCCGTGACGGCTAGATGTTGTTACAAAAACTTCTGCTACACAACAGGCCGAGGCGCCACTACGACAGAGCGTCCGTGGTCGTGCTGGCTCAAGGAGCTCAGGCACACCGTCCGCAGCACGAGCTCGCCCACGCGCGGGGGGCAGGCCCGATACCGCAGCCAAGAGTGCAACGTGCGCGCAGAATTCGGCGAGCATCGTCATCGCCTCGGTTGCTGGTTCCATGCTTCATCAGCCGCGGCATGAGGCACAGGACGACGCAGGCGGCCAGCCCCGACGCGTGATGGGGGCGAGAGGTCCACCCGCGCGCACGCCATCGAGAAGAGCCTGCTGCTCGGGTGAACGCTCGCTGCCTTGGGGACGGGGGGGCGCAAATGAGGCGACGCACGTTTCCCAAACAAGCCAATTGGAGGCGAGAACTCTTCTCACATCGATATGAGTAGATCTATATATATATATATATATATATAGATATAGATGTATGACTCGATCTGATCGCTTCATGTCGAACGGCGGCTTTACCACGCTGGTGGCGCAACCGCGAACGTGGCCACACAGTTGCGTTCCGAGCATCGCGCGCGGCAGCCTCCCGGCTCAGAAATGCTGATGCGAGGAGCTGGCGGGAGGCCAACACTTTCAATGAAGGAAAGTGCCCCAGGAGTGACGCTAAACTGCCCCAGTGAGGCAGCAAATGGCTCGAACGCGTCGGTAAAAGGGCCCAGTGCTACGCTGCATTGCAACAGTAGGGGAAGCATCAACAATGCATGTGCAGCCACCTCGCCGAACATGTTCAAAATGGCCCAGATCAACAAAAAAGGTCCTTCAAGCGCTTTTGCAGTGTGCCAGAAATGCTGGTTTCTGTAACCCCGGCTTGTGAACCCCGACCTGCACTCACTCGAGCTTCCCTACCCGAAGCAGCACCGCAGGACCACAGCAGGAGCGCAGTTTGTGACGAATCCCCCAAACACCTGACCTCGAAGAGGGTCGAGGCGATTTTGTGGCCAACAATCACCGTGACATCGCAGCATGTATCAAAGAATTGCTTCCCTTCCCCAACCCTGGCAACAAAAACGAAAATGAATCTGCTTCCTCAAACTGACCCACTTCAAAAGTAAGGGCCAAGAGTTGATGCGTACCGTTCTCAATCAAAGTATACGCGCATCAACAAAGCCATTCACAACCGATTGCGTGTGCGAGCAGCTGGACAGCATGGTGACAAGCAAAGATAACATAGAACTTTGCTGCGACCTTGGAGCGTTCACGTGACGGAATGCGGCATTGACGCTGCACCTCAACAGCATAATGAAACAACAAGAACTCAACATCAGCATACTGCCCGCGAAGACGGAGGAGCTACGCTCACGATCGAATCGCCTAGCTTTACTGCGAGCTTCGTTGGCCCTGAAGCAAATCTCAAAATTCAACATTCCAGAATTCCTGGACATCGAAACTGACTCTGAGCCAACTCCTCCGGGAGAGCACCTTGCGCTCGCACTGTGCAAGCTCGACCTCCACTGCGTGAACAAAGCAGTCGCGCACAAACCAAGGCGCCTAGACCTGGGGACAAAAGAACATGACAGGCGTGAGTAAGTTGTTAAAAGAAGCACACTATGCCCACATGAATTGTTAACGACGGTAGCTGTTATTCCGAGCAAAAGAAGCCAGAGCCAAATCAAAACTAGCACCCAGGATGAATTCAATACAAGAACTGGCAGCATCGTTATGCCACACATCAAGAGACGACGCCGTCGACTGACTCCTGACCGGAAGGGTCGAGCAACACTTGGCCAAACGACGGCATCGCCCCCACAAGGAAAAAGGAACACCGGGGGCAAAGGCAAGGGATCATACGATTGCAAGGGGAAGGGCAAGAACAGGCGCCGCGGCGGCGCTGCGACGACCCAGCGCGGTCGCAGGCGGAGCCGCGTTTCCAACGGGGCCGCGATCGACGAAGGAGCAGAGACCCCCGCGGCTGGTATACACGGGCGGTGCCTTCGTTTTGACCGTATCTTGGAAGTCGCAAAAACAAGCGCCGCGCCAGCCCCCGCACCCCCCACCCCCTGATGCAAAGCGGAGGAGGCCGACCAGCGACGACGGCAATGGACCTCATCGGTGACGTCGTCGCGTCGCTTTGTTGCTCAGCTCCGCATCGCTTGGGGTCGACGGGGCTGGCGCGGGCTGCGTGTCCGCCCTGGCGCGGCGGCAGATTCGGTTACCGCCGCATTGGCGCGCCGTGGCATTTCTGCTTCGATCGCATCCCGAACGGCGCAATCTGGTGCAGCGGAGGAAAAGGAGGAAGAGGAGGAGGAGGCGGCGGAGGAGGAGGAGGAGGAGGAGGAGGGGGAGGAGGAGGAGGAGAAAGAGGAGGAGGAGGAGGAGGAGGAGGAGGAGGAGCCATACACAAGGATTCACACGAGAGAGCCGAAGAGCAGTGCCAGCGCTCCTGCCACTGCACGCACAAGGGCAACTGCGCACACCATCGGATGCTGGTAGCAGAATGTATGGACAGGCGCACATTCTCTCTGCGCTGCGGGGGGCTCAGCTCTGCGAGCAGTGGCCTGAGAACGGCACAGCTCGCATGCGGGCTACAGCAGCGACCCTGCATGAGCACTACAGTAGCCCACGAGGGCCACGGCGTGCAAAAAGGCACCGCTGATTATGTGCTTGCGACCGCCCAGCGGCGAAGGAAGCTGGACCCTGCCAGTGCTACCAAAGCCTGTGAACACCACGCGTATGCACAGCAATCTGCTGGAACGAGGTCGTGCTACAAAACTCTGCGAGAGCAGCAGTACACTTGCGAGCATCAGCGGCATGTCTGTCACCACCACACTAGCTGTGCGCGCATGTGGCGCCCGCACCTTTTCCACTAGTACTGGTAAGTTCTGGATCCCGCCGCCGTCGGGAGGTCGCAAGCACACGTCGGTGCTCCCAGCCGCGCCGTGACGCTTGCTGGCTACGGTTGTGCTCGCAGGCCCATTCCTGACGCGCGCGAGCACAGTGTGGTGCTCGCAATCTGCGTGCTGTTGTGTGCGTGCCCGTGGTGCTCTCACATTACTACTGGTTTGACGCAGGGTATGGGACGCCAACCATGTATAGTATCCAGCATGTACCACGCACAGTATCATGCACATTAATGCCTCGTTTCACCCGAATTGGGGCACATTAAAAACCAGTCCCATGTACAACAGCGGCAGGGTCTGATTTCCCTTGCCGTCTTGCGGTCGCACGCACCCTGCGTCGCCCTCGGGCCACACGGATGGTGGGCAGACTCGTGCTCGCAGGCGTCCTGGTACGGGCCAGCATGCTGTCGTGCGTACGCGTGGAGCTCCCGAGCTGCTGTGGTACTGGAGAGGGCTGGCATGCCTCCGTCTGCTGCCGGGTCGCTCGGCTACACTGATGTACTCCAGGGGGTATTCCAAGAAGTCCCTGGCAGCATTCCCAGACGGCGTCGGCGCAAGTCGTCACGCTGCTGGCCCCTCTCCCCCTACCCCTGTAAGCCTCCCCCGTTCGCAGGGCCTGCCCGGAAGGACAGGAAGAATGTTGGCTTTCGGCGCCGAGAGCCCCCACCTGCATACAGAACGGCACGTTCCTCCCTTTCCCTCCCCCCCCCCTCCACCTCCGTCCCTTGGCCCTCCAAACAAACCCCTGGAGACGTTTCGCGTGGACCATCACACTGGCCATAAGGAAAGGCAGGAGAAGGCGATGGGTACCCAAACTAGAACACGGCGCCCCGAATCAAATCTGCCGCGTGCCCTCCACCTCCTCGCCCAACCGCAAGGGAATCCTGTGAACGCGCGACTGCGTGTATTCAGCGCGAGGGTAGCAAGACTCTGCAACACGAGCGGCCACATCTGTGCCCTGGGCTTCACATAAAGAGCAACTAAACGCACAGTCGCGGAGGAGGAAGGGGAGGACGAGGAGGAGGGAGCAGAAGACAACCGATTTCTTTCAACAGGGAGCTCCTGGAACACGAGCCCCCCTGTTGAAAGAATTCGGCCCCCCTTGAGTCAAGGCCACCCCCGAGCGATCGGGGAGTAGGGGTCGATTTTGGCGGCGCGCACAAAGGGGGGTAGGGGTAGGGGGAGGGCTTCTTAGACGGAGGCTGCTTCTTAGGAGGCGCCGGCCCTTCCATCTATGGACAAGGGTCGCGCCTTCCAAGAAGCAGGGGTGCTTCTGAGAAGCCTTCCCCCCTCCCACAACCCACCTCTGCGAGTGGCCGACGCTTGCGGGCGCAAAGACGATTGGCTCCGCCGCGACTATCACAAGAAGCCAGGCGCCCCCCTGGCGGAGTGGCCCTCGCGGATCGAGGCACCCCGCTCGAGACGGCTCCCATCTCCAGCTCGGGGAGGGTCCGTGAACCTCCTTGCTGGAGTTGGTCCGCTGGTGCTGGTGTCGCTCCTCCTCCTCCTCCTCCTCCTCCTCCTCCTCCGCCCCCTCCTCCTCTTCAGCCTCATCATCCTCATGCTCCTCCATTCCTCTCCGTATACAAAACTTCCCCCTGTCGCACCCCGAGGCCAGTTGTTGGGGCGGGCCGGGCGTTTCGCCTGAGACCTCCTCACCATTTACGACCCTGATGCTTAAACATGTGCAACAGATTGACAAATCGAGGGTGGATGGTTTTCAAGAGATGGCTCTCGCCTTAGGGCCACGCACATTCGTTTTGAACATTTGCAAGAACTGCACCGATTAAAGACAACCCCTTTTCAAAATGTGGTTCCCGCCTCAGCGCCGCGCACATTCTTTGTTTAACAAAATTTGCAAGAGCTTCACGGATTGAGGACAAGCCGTTTTCAAAATGTGGTCTCGCCTTAGCGCCACGCGAATTCGCTGTAAACAGTTACAAGAGCTTCACGGGTTGGGGGCGGCTCCTTTTCAAAATGTGGCTCCCGCCTACGTAAGCGCCGCGCACACTCGTTGATATAATTTGTAAGAATTTCACTGGTTCTCGTAGTCGAAGTACCAGAAACAGTGTTTTGGACGGATTCCGGATTTTGCGGGTGCAACAGTCACGTTGATTCGCGATGTTGGAGTCCCAAGAATGGCGTGCTGGCACGATTCAGGATCGTCAAAACGCAAACAATCAGGTTGATCTGTGGCGTTGGAATCCCGAGATCCATGTTTTTACATGATTCAGGGTCTTCAAACGGTTGTCTTCAAACGATTGTCTTCAAATGGAAATGAACCGTTGCGGGGCCCTGAGAAGAGGGAGCTTGGAGGGAGGTTTTATTCCAACTTCGTTGATGACTCTTGGGTTTGCGCTGGTCCTCCTCCTCCTCCTCCTCCACCCTCCTCCTCCTTCTCCTCCTCCTCTTCCTCCTCCTCCTCCTTCTCTTTCTCCTCCTCCTTCTCCTCCTCCTCCTCGTGTTCCTCCTCCTCCTCCTCGTTCTCCTCCTCCTCCTCCTCCTCCTCCTCCTCCTCCTCCTCCGCCTCGTTCTCCTCCGCCTCCTCCTCCTCCTCCTCCTCTCCTCCTCCTCCTCCTCCTCCTCCTCCTCCTCCTCCTCCTCCTCCTCCCTCCGAGGGGTGGGTTATGCTCCCGCGCCGTGGCCTCTGCGCCAGCTGCGTCCAGGAGCGTCCGGGAGGCACCCTCCTGGCGCCCCAGCGGCTCCAGCAGGAACCTCGCCACCGGCCGGCAGCGGGCAAAGGGCTTCGGCAGGCAGCCGAGGATGTCCCCCGCCAGGGCGGGGAAGTCCTGGCGCGGAGGTCCCCCCGCACGCCACCGCAGTGCCTGGCCAGGGCCGCCTTGTGCCCTGCCGTGGTGCGCTCGCCCCCCGCGGCCGAGGCAACGACCCAGGCATCCGACGCCATGATCCTCTCGAGTCGCGGCTCCAGAGCTCCCGCCCCCCTTCCCCGGGAGCAGCTGTGCGCCCTGGGCCCGCGTTTTGAGGCCCCGAAGGTCGAAATCGAGGCAGGACGCAGGGCTTCAAAAATTATCCGGGCGAAGTACCCAACCATGTGCAGTTGTGAATAACGCAATTGTTGGGATCGTCTTCTGTGGAGCTCCCTATGGGGCCAAGAAGCGTATGAAGGGTGTGCCGAAATGGGTGCGGCGGTGTCATGCGAGCGCAGCCACTGGGGCCTTCGGTGGAGCTCCCCATGGGGCCACGAAACGTGTGAGGGTGTGCCGAAATGGGTGCGGCGATGTCATGCGAGCGCAGCCCCTGGGGCTTTCGGTGGAGCTCCCTATGGGGCCACGAAACGTTTGAGTGGTGTGCCGCAATGGGTGCGAGTGCGGTGGTGCCATGCGAGCGCAGCCACTGGGGCCCTCGGTGGAGCTCCCTATGTGGCCACGAAGCCTGTCAAGGGTGTGCCAAAATGGGTGCGGCGGTGTCATGCGAGCGCAGCCCCTGGGGCCTTCGGTGGACCTCCCTATGGCGCCACGAAGCGTGTGAGGGGTGTGCCGAAATGGGTGCGGCGGTGTCATGCGAGCGCAGCCACTGGGGCATTCGGTGGTGGAGCTCCCCATGGGGCCACGAAACGTGTGAGGGGTGTGCCGAAATGGGTGCGGCGGTGTCATGCGAGCGCAGCCACTGGGGCCTTCGGTGGAGCTCCCTATGGCGCCACAAAACGTGAGGGGTGTGCCGAAATGGGTGCGGCGGTGTCACATGAGCGCAGCCACTGGGGCCTTCGGTGGAGCTCCCTATGGGGCCACGAAACGTGTGAGGGGTGTGCCGAAACAGAAACTGCGGAGGGCAGAGGCAAAGAGGGGGTAGCTGGAGGAGGACGAGGTGTGGGAACGCGGGGCGCTCTCTTCAAAACGAACACCAAACACCACAGGACGGTGGACAAAAAGCCAGAACCTCGGGTGGCCCGAGGTGTCCTGGCGGCCGGGCACCGCTGGGCCCGCCCCAACTGGAGGATGCCGCGGCAAATCCCGCCCGCCGTGGAGACGAGGGAAGGGAGCAGTAATGCGGGATGACGATTCATAAAAAAATGGGGGGAACGTTTAAAAAAATAGTTTCCTGCTATTTCTGTACAACTTTCTGACTGGAGGAGAACGATTTAAAACATAGTTCTCCAGCCCGCGGCCGGTTTTCTCTAATCGTCATCCCGGGCGCCGCCGCGTGAACAAGACCCCCGGTCATTTATTAATCGTCATCCTCTCCATTATCAATGTGAATTCTGCTCTGGCTGGCATGCTGCGTTCGCCACGCGTGGCCGAGGCTCGAGGCAACGAGGGCCTGTGCACCGTCCCGAGGGTTCGGGGTCCCAAAACCGCGTGGCGGCCCCGGCACCCCCAGCGACCTCACCGCGTGGCCCGCTCCCGCGCGGCTCTGGGGCCTCGCGAGCCCCCGGTGGCTCGAGACATCCTCACGCAAAACGACCCCGTGGCGACCCCCAAAACCCCGCGGCCTCGCCTCGCGGTGCGGTCACCACGCCGCACAGGGGGGCCCCCGAGAGGTGGCCCTGTGGCCAGGCGCAGGGCGGCGTCCGGGAAAAGCCCTCCGCCGCGGCGTCCTCCGCCTCCGCGGCGGCGGCGTACGCCTGCCCGAGCGCCTCGTCGGGACACCGGAGGGCACCAATACCGCGACCCCCCCCGGGATGCGTCCTGACCAGGATGTCAAGGAGAATCCAGCCAATGTCAAGTCGGGCCTGTCCCCCTACAGGGGGATTTTGGGCGAAGAACAAACAAGAGTCAACAAGTAACCCGGAATGGCCACAAAATGCGCCAATAAAGGGTCCCCAGACTATTTTTTGACTGAGTTGAATATTCCTCCTCCTGCAGAGGGACAGGCCCGACTTATATATAAAACCAGTGTGACGACAGCCTCCCAGGAGGCCCAAGAAGGCAAAAAGGAGGCAGGGGCATACCGCGGTCGTGGTGCCCTCTGCTCCAGAGTTTCCCCGGGCA